ATCAGAAGTTTTTGTCCTGCGCCCCTACAGGCCTGTTTCGCAGAGGGAGTCCACTTGAAAGCTTTGTTTTGAGAAGATAACAAGCGGTCTCCAGTACTTCGTGTTGAAAACAGAGGAGTCAACAGCGTCTGAACCTAAATCGACATTCAGAGCGGTATAAATACAAAAGTCGTATGTTACAGCTATGTAACCAAAAGAGTCGAACAATGGTGGATAGAAATCAGTCTGGACACAAATGGAGTGCTGTTATACAGGAACACGGGAGAAGCTAGGAGAAGATCACAAAACAAGTGCTGTAGTTACTAGTCAACGGCAGAGAGGACGCGTGACTGGCCATTTCAACACTTCGTGCATCTTCCACTCGCCGACATGTATGCAATATTGAAGCAAAATTGCGGCACAAAGGACTGGAAAGCCGTTCAAAGGCAGTACAGGATGTTGAGCACGGGAGGTTTGGAAGAGATGGGTCAAACGTCACAAACGAGAAAAAGCACTCAGGAGGGCCAATCACAATGCCACCCATGCTTTATAATACACACCCAGTTAATCGAACAAAGGCTTTTCAAACTACATTTTCATTCCCATCCTGGTGAACCAGCGCCGGCACCGCAACATCGCGTCCCGGCGCCCGCGCGAGTCACTGGCCCGGGATGTACGGCTTGTTGGTCTTGAAGATGAGCCCCGGCTTGCGCGCGGCGAGGTTGAACAGCATTTCGGCGAAGAAGCTGTTCGCCTGCAGGCCAGTCGACCAACTGTCAGCGGCAGAGGGCAGAGACAGGGGAAAGGCAGTGCGCGCACCCATGCGAACCAGCTGCGCGTGTAGTCCGTCGGCAAGTAGATCGACTGCGACTCGTGGATGAGCCCGAGGCCCGCGGTGTTCTGCGGGGAGCCGGTCAATCAGTCGAACCTGCGGTGGCACGAGCGTACATTCGCGATGAGGTACAGCCGCTCCATGATCTCCGCGTCGTCGTCCGTGCCGAAGATCGCCGCGATCTGCGACATGGGCCACGGGTGCCACGCGTTGACGTGCGGGCCGCTGCAGGCGCGACCGAGTCAGCCACATGCATCGCGACAGAACAGGGCAGGGAGAGGGGACAGTACCCGATGCCGCTGAAGTTCTGCCCCGCGGCGAAGTACGGGTTCATCCTGGAGAACAGGAGCTTGCGCGTCGCGACGTAGGCCGGCTCGTCCATGTCGAGGAAGCCGAGGTACGGGAGCGAGACGAGAGACTGACGGCAGGGGCGGTTGGCCGTGCAGGGTTAGCTAGACGGGTTGGCACGCACCGGCACATTTGCGTCGTCCATCACGTATCTGCTGCCCAGGCCTGCACCAATGCACATGAGATTATCGCAAAATGAGGGGAGGGGTAAGACTCGCCGTTGGTCTCGTACGCGAAGATGTTGTTGACCACCTGCGTAGAAGAACGGAGTCAATGCCCGCACGCGCAAAAACCACGTCGCGCGAACCGTGTTGGCCCAGATGGCGTCGTGCACGCGCTTGCTCCACAGGGTCGCTTGCGCTGTGAAATTCTTGCCCTGCGCGGTCTTCGCCTGGCCCGACGCGGTGAGGATGCTCGCAAGGTTCGCGAGCTCGACGGACAGCATGGCGTTCGCGGGCGTGAGGAACGCGAAGACGCTGAGGTCGTCGCTCGGGCGGTGGTGCGTGCCGACCATGCCTACACCGCGGGTCGCGCATCAGGATCAATCACTTCCGCAAAGACACCGCGCCGCACCCGTGAACCCCTTCGGCTCGCCGTTCCCCCCGTTGTCAACCGCGGGGCTCAGCGCCCCGTTCCCGCCCGTCCAGTTGTAGAACGAGATGAAGTTGAAGTCCGCGTCGAAGGACGCTTGCGACTGCTCGTTGATCACGCGGAAGATCTGGCCGATCGCGGTGAACCCTGCAGCGCATCTGCGTGAGTACGCGCATCGTAGACATAAAGTCGCATACACTGTGCATTCATGAACGAGTCGTCCTTCGTCGCGTCGTAGTACTGCCGCGAGAGCTTCAAGAACCCGCAGAGCGAGTCGATCTCGTACTGCGACGATCGTCAGCAGGCGGACCGTACGCCGTCGGTGCGTCTCACCTTGCACTCGAAAACGATCGTGTTGTTCACTGGTCTGAATGGAGATGAATGAGAATCACAACAACGACCGACGGGTTACGCACGGGTTGACCGTCACGCCGTCCGCGAAGTTGTTATGGCTTGGCTGCAGCCCCGACTCGGGCGGGGGCTGGAAGGAGCCGCCTGCAACAACAGCCATTAGAAGGAATCGGAAGATCGAAGTGAAAACACGCACAATACGGAAACTGCGAGACGTAGCGGGCCTCGTTATTGATCACAGCGCGCGCGAGTGTCGCGAGCTCGGGGTCAGACGAGAGAAGCGGGGCATAGACCGCAAACTGCGAGGGCATATTGGTGAAGGATGGGAGGAAAATGCCTTGCAAACTGAACCTGATTCGCAGTGTCACGCAGCCACTGGGCACTGAAGAGTTTATATTCAGCGGCGTTATGCAGCGCAAAACAGTCGGACGAACGTGATATCCTGAGATGGGACGATAAGGCAATGACTAGCGCAGAGAACTGAAACGCACCCCCGTGATAATGAACGCCAAGTTCTGCGTCTGCGACGCCGTCATTTGGGGAAATATTTGAAGTTGACATATGTACGCACGGGGTTGAAGTACTTCACCGTCGTGTCTGCCACCCGCCTGTATTAGCATCGCTGTTGCTGGCATTATACCGACTCACCGAGGGTGTTTGGAAACGTGTTCTCGAAGAGCCGTGCAATGTCCGGGTCCTTCAGCCGCGATTTCATGTCGGTTATGACTTTCTGGAGAGGGACGCGTGAACCATGGTCCATCATCAATAATTTAAACCATCCAGCGACGAGCACACCTCGACAGCCGAGCTGTTGAATGTGCGGCATTCTGTGTATTGAATTGGACCGCTGCGCAGACTCGCAGGAAGGTGCGTACCGGGGCTGGGCCGCATAAACGGAAGACGAAGCGGCCCGCTAGAGGGGTTCCCTTGCGGTGACTAAGAAGGACGTTGAGGCCACGCGGCATAGAAGACTGGACGAGGTGGCACCTGCGAGAAGGTCGTGTAGTCGGGGCACTGCGCACGCGCGCCCTGGGTGAGCGCGACCGCCAGGAGAACGGCCCGGGACAGGGCGAGCTTCAAGTTCATGATGGATGGGTGTGGAGCTTCTGCGCCGACGGGGGGTGGCTGGCTTCGCGGTCGTTTATATAGGCGGGCGGTAAGAAGCACATGGCGCGCGGAGAAGAGATGCGTGCGTCACGAGGACGGCACAAATGGACGTATGGTCTGGTGACCGCAGGCGAGAACGTGATGGCAGATTACGGCACTTCTCGCATTCGGGAGCTCACGAGTAGGGCCCTCTGACAACACTTTCAAGGAAATAATAATTTGTTTGACTGTCAGGTCTGACATCTGACAATTGAATAGGGCTGAAGGGGAAGCGGAGTGCCGCGGCTCGTCTTGAAACATTATCCATACTGTATAGCCATCTATATCAATTATATTCTTTTTCGTCGTATGATTCCCAGAAACCGAACTCTATGGCGCATCGGTGAGAATAATTTTGAGTCGGGGCGTTGGATGTATTTATCAATGCCGAGAGTTGCCGAGCCAGAGGGCAGCTTCGGCATCCATCAAGGCCGCCGGCTCCGGGTATTCGGCCATTTCAATTGATGTCAGGTGCGGACCTCTTCCTCTGTCAGGCCTGTCAGGTTTGACCCATTCGAAAATAACTAATTGTCTGTCAGGATTGTCAGATTCTGGAATCCGACACCAGAGGGCTCTACTCACGAGCATCTTCGTATACGTAGAATAGACAATCTATCATGTAAATGGAGGCAAGCACTGTCATTTCCCAGCTGCGCGATATCTGGGCTGCGCAATCCGGTGGGGTTGCGCGCGCGGCACGCCCTGCCATGGCTAGGTAAGGCAGCTCTCGACATCATCGGCCTCGCGGGTGCGCGGCGCTTCTCATCCGTAATTTGTCAGCTTCGGCTGGTTCCCTCCCCAATCAATGCGCTGGGAACAAATGATAGCGTTGCACCGAATGAGCTGGCGGAAGCATTAGAGGCGGGTGTCGCCTTAGAGACGGACCGCTTCTTCCTGCTGCGGTTCACATTTTTGCGCCTGTTTACATCGCATGCGGGCTGATAGTGATGCTTGCTTAAGCCGACGAGGCATGATAGGGAGATCACCGCATCCCATGCGACAATGAAGCGTATTGGACAGCAGTTCCTCGCGGACAGCAAGCACCAGATCTCGGAGAGCGGCCTTTCTTTCGAGACGACCTGCTCAACAATTGTGCCCAATATGGGACATCCCATCGCTACGTTACACGCCGGTGTTTTGGCCCTTCCATCTCTCGCAATTAAATAATATATTTCATACGGTGAACGTATATCAGCCGTTTCAATACAACTTCCTTACTGGGCGGCATCAAGCCCGCGTTTTGGCTCACCTCGACTCGCGTCCCTCTCCCCTTCCCGCCGCCCCCGCGTTAAATGCGGTATCTATTACAGTCCTTGCACAAGACTCTGAATTTATGCGTGCGTACACTCTCACTGACTGTCTTGTTCTCATGACTTTTTTTTGTCACAGTTTGGCGTGCAGGGATAGTTGTATTTAGTTACTTGATTGTCTTATGGATCTGTAACATATATTGGTCAACAGCAGCGATACGAATGCACTGGAGTCTGGATGTGAGTGTTATGATGTTTCTCAAGTGTGTGACATCTGAACTGAGTGTGAAGTACCATGGCCACTCCAGTGAAGTGTCGAGAAGCATCCTGGTACGCACTGGAACAAAGTGTGCTGAAACACTCAAGCAAAGTGCGGGAAACACTTCACTGCAATAGTGGATCGTTCACGATACTTACTCCATAGGAGTGTTCCAGCAATGGAGTGGCCATGGAGAGTCCCGGACTGGCACCGTAGCTACTGATACCCAGAGTCTGGCAGTACTGCTTTGGTGGGGTAGTGGTAACCTGGGTCGTTACCATAGTAATTTGTGTAAGCCGTTTTCGACCCGCCGGGGGTTCGATTCCCCCCCCAAAGCATTACAAAAATCACCTCTGTTTTTTCTGTCGCACCGCAAGTACGTTACATAAAAAGCTTCACACCCCCATTTCAAATGACATGGAGCTTTCAAACTGATAACTACTGACAGTCTGACACCGAAATGAGCAATTCTTCGTGAAGAATAATGTAAATGCATCGATACATCAGGATACTTACATCCAGTTGCGTCTTCAAGTACGTAGCAGGCGGCGGCCATAAACTTACGGATGTCTTTCTGAGTTTAAGATTGAGCACTTCTTTGTCCTACAAATTCTCATCATGTCAGTCTCGCGGAGACGCAGGCTTGTCGCGTAACTACTTAGATTGTGTGCCTACTTGACATGTGTATTGTCCGCAATTGCCCGCTAGCTGCCGCGCTCGCTGCCGACGGCTACAAAGCAGCGACCACGGAGGCAAAGCTTGCTTGCTAATTGCTGTAAAGGTTCCGCAGCAAACAAATAATCTGATTCAGTCCCGATTCCCGAAATCGGTGGGCACTATCTTCAAGTTTCTTCGAGTTAAGTAACTACCAGGCTCTGGCCGTAGTTACTTCAAGTTGGACACTCGTCGCGTCGACTGTTGTGCAGTACGGTGTTAGTAATGTTGCAGTATACGAAATTCGCGAATGCATTGGATGTGAGTGTTATGAGCGTGTTTCTCAAGTGCTGTGTGACACCTGAACTGAGTGTGAAGTACCATGACCCAGTGAAGTGTCGAGAAGCATCTGAGGTGGCACACACTGGAATAAATCCATAGAAGTGTTCCAGCAGGAGTGGCCATGGAGATTTGGGGACTGGTACCGTAGCTAGTAATACCCGGAATCTGGCAGTATTGCTTTGGTGGGGTAGTGGTAACCTGGGTCGTTGCCATCATTGACTTTATAGCCAGATTCTCGACCCGCCGGGGGTTCGATTCCCTCCTAAAGCATTGTTTCTCCACAAGTCCTTTTTTCTGTCGCACCGCAGGTACGTTACATAAATTTCATTTTGACCCCGAAAAAGTGGGAGCTTCCGAACTGTTAATTACTAACAGCTGCCGGTCTGACACCGAAATGAGCAATTGTTCGTAAAAAATCATGTAAATGCATCGATACATCCATATGTATCTGTAAGTTAACAGGAATACATATCTTCAATCCTCCGAGTACCCACCGGGCGTAGGCCATAAACTCTCTGCTGAGCTTAAGACCGAGCACTTCTTAGTTCTAAATCATTGTCTGGGCCACAAATTCTCATCAGGTCGGTCTTGCGGAGACGCTGCCAGTGGCCCTGTCGCGTAAATATTCAAATTGTGTGCCTACTTTATGTGCCGAACCGCCGACTAGCTGGCGCGCTCACTGCCGACGGCTGTGTGCAAAGCAGCGAGTGCGGAGGCAAAGCTTGTTATGAAGGTTCCTTGTGTTAACTGCCCATACCTGGATATACTCGTTGTGTCGACTGCTGTACAGTACTGTTTTAATAATATCGCATGCGCAGTAACAATGCATTGGATGACGGCCTTTTTTTTCTCAGTTTCGGTTTGGTTTCGGTAGACCTTCAAGTTTCACCTCCCACCGTGAGAGCCTAAGATGCGGGATCTCCCTTCGGAGCGCGGCACCCAAATCTGGATGCAGTTCGCTGAACAGCGACACCTCGCAATTACAAAATACATTTCATACCGTGAACGTACATCAGCCGTTTCAATACAGCTTCCTTACTGGGCGGCATCAAGCCCACGAGTTGGCTCACCATGTGCGTCCCTCTCCCCTTCCCGCCGCCCCCGCGCTGAATGGAACATCTATTGCAGTCCTTGCGCAAGACTCTGAATTCATGTGTGCGTACACTCTCACTGACTGTCTTGTTCTCATAATTTACTTTGGCGCAGTCTGGCGCGCAGGGATAGCTGTATTTAGTTACTTGATTGTTTCATTTATTTGTAACATATATTGGTCAACAGCAGTGATACGAGTCCACTGGATGTGAGTGTTATGAGCATGTCTCTCAATTGTTGTGACACCTGAACTGAGTGTGAAGTACTAACCACTCCAGTTAAGTGTCGAGAAGCATCCGAGGTAAGTCTGGTACGCACTGGAACAAAGTGTGCTGAAACACTCTGCACGATATTCACTCCAAGAAGTGTTCCAACACACTTCAATGGAGTAGAGAGTTGGGACTAGCACCATAGCTACTAACACCCGGTACCCCCGGTACCCAGTAGTACTGCATTGGCGGGGTAGTGGTAACCTGGGTCGTTGCCATATTCGGTGTGTAACCAGATTTCGGTGTGTAACCAGATCTTCGACCCGCCGGGGGTTCGATTCCCTCCCCAAAGCATCACGAAACTTTCTCTTGTTTTTTTCTGTCGCACCGCAAGTACGTTACATGAATTTCACTCAATTCTAACCCCAATTCCAGTCCAAAAAGTTCGGGAGCTTCCAACCTGATAACTACTGACAGCTGCCGGTCAGACACAGAAATGAGAGAGTTGGGGGACTGTACTAACACCCGCAATCTTGTAAACATAATACTGCTTTGGCGGGGTACTGGTAACCCCCTGTCGCGTAACTACTTAAATTGTGTCTAATGTGTCCAAAGCATTCTGCTACCGCCTTCTACCCAATTTTTTTGTCGCACCGCGAGTACGTTACATAAATTTCACTCAATTCCGACCCCGATTCCAGTCCACAAAGTGTGGGAGCTTCCAATAACAGCTGCCAGTCTGACACAGAAATGAGAGAGTTGGGAGACTGTACTAACACCCGGAAGCGGAAGCTTGTAGTATTGCTTTGGTGGCGTAATGGTGACCTGAGTCGTTGTCATCATCCAGTAAGTATGGAAGGCCGGACAGTCAAGCTCATTTGATCGCCGCATATTGCCCTTTATGGTTGGGACCCCAACTCACCGCATGATCCGAGATTGTTCCTCCGGGGTTGGTGACAAATCTTCGGCATGAAGCCGCAGTTCGGGCACGGGTTGCCGCTAAGACAAAGCCGCCGATTAAATAAGTCAACAGAAGTGTTGACCTATGTAATCGGCGGCCTAAGAGCTTCCTTTCAATACAACAACTCATTAGAAGTCCGCATGTTGGAATAGAAGCTGAGAACCCATAAACAGCTACCAAATGTGGCTTCCCTTTATCGTGTTGATCAACGGCCCACAGGTTGTTAACACCGGCAGCAAGCTCCTCCCTTGGCGCTGAAAGCACATGTCAGCGCAGCGTCAAAATCAGGGCTGGATGGGGTAGTACGGAGTGGTAGGTCCCCAAATCATGACTTTGCCGTGAGTGTCTCATTTACGATAACTTCCTTCCTCGAATTGATCATGTGCAGCCAAATTGCAAATGGTGTAGACCTGTTTGGCGATGGGAATGTTAGCACTGCCTTCGAGTCCTTTCCACAACAGCACGAGTGCAACAAGTTCTGCCAATGGTTTGAGGTTCCAAGACTTGATGGAGAAGTTGTTTGAGCTGCAAGAGTGTCACACTCAATTAGTTAAAAACATGTTCTATGCCAAATCTATGCTGTATGCTAACAATATGTTCTATGCCAATTCTATGCTGTATGCACAAATTATGCAGCACAATTATATGGATTATCAGATAGCTCGGGCCGCGGCGGTGCACTCCCGCGACCGTGAACGTGACGTGGCGCGGCGTCTGCTTGGGCTGGATCCATAGGCGCAATCTTGCGACAGACACTTCTGCTGACTTAGCGCCAGCATTCTTTCCACTAAGATTTTGAGATGGTGGGCATTCACGGGAGATTTCACAACAAGTCAATTACATAAGTCAACACTCGGAGTGTTGATCGATTAGCGGCAACCCGTACCCGAACGGGCCGAACCCTCATACCGCGGCTTCATGCCGAAGATTTGTCACCAACCTCGGAGGAACCATCTCGGATCATGCGGTGAGTTGGGGTCCCACCCATAGAGGGCAATATGCGGGGATCAAATGAGCTTGGCCGTCCGGCCTTCCATAAGTAAGAGATCTTGCGAAACAGATTCTCGACCCGCCGGGGGTTCGATTCCCCCCCAAAGCATAATGTAGGAACTCCACCTTTTTCTGTCGCACCGCAAGTACGTTACATAAATTTCACACCCCGGTTTCAAGTGACATGGAGCTTTCAAACTGATAACGACGTCGACTGACAGCTGCCGACACCGAAATAAGCAATTCTTCTTATGTAAAGTAAATGCATCGCCCGATTCCAGTCCAAAAAGTGTCGAGAGTCTCACAGAAATGAGAGAGTTGGGGGACTGCACCCGGAATCTTGTAAACATAGTACTGCTTTGGTGGGGTAGTGGTAACCTGGGTCGTTGCCATTCCAGACTTTCATAAACAGATTTTCGACCCGCCGGGGGTTCGTTCCCCCCCCAAAGCATAGAGAAACTATTGCACATTTTTTCTGTCGCACCGCAAGTACGTTACATAAATTTCACTCAATTCTGACCCCGATTCCAGTCCAAACAGTGGGAGCTTCCAAATTGATAACTACTGACAGCTGCCGGCCTGAAACAGAAATGCGAGAGTTGGGGGACTGTACTAACACCCGGAAGTCTGTAGTATTGCTTTGGTGGGGTGGTGGTAACCTGGGTCGTTACCGTCGACGAGGAACTCGTGTAATAGATTTTCGACCAGCCGGGGGTTCGACTCCCCCCCAAAGCATCACGTAGTGAGCGTTCCACTTTTTTCTGTCGCACCGCAAGTACGTTACATAAATTTCACACCCCGATTTCAAATGACATCGAGCTTTCAAACCGATAACTACTGACAGTCTGACACCAAAATGAGCAATTCTTCGTAAAGAATAATGTAAATGCATCGATACATCAGGATAATTACATCTATTTGTAAAGGCAATACGTGTCTTCAAGTACGTAGCAGGCGTCGGCCATAAACTTACGGATGTCTTTCTGAGTTTAAGACCGAGCACTTCTTTGTCCTACAAATTCTCATCATGTCAGTCTCGCGGAGACGCAGGCTTGTCGCGTAACTGCTTAAATTGTGCGCCTACTTTACATGTGTACTGTCCGAATTGCCAGCTAGCTGCCGCGCGCGCTGCCAACGGCTATGTACGTAAACCAGCGAGCGCGGAGGCCAAGTTTGCGTGCTAATTGTTGTCACGGTAACGTTCCGCAGCAACCAATTAATCTGATTCAATCCCGAAATCGGTCGGCACTATCTTCAAATTTCTTCGAGTTAAGTACCAGGCTATGCCCGTAGTTACATGAACACTCGTCGTGTTGACTGCTGTGTAGTGCGGTGTTAATAATGTCGCAGTAACAATGGATGCCCACCTGCCGTCCGAGCCACGTAAACAAAACCGAAATTCGTTCTGCACAGACCATAGGGCCTCAGAGCCTTTTTTTCTTTTGGTAGTAAGCCTTTCGTCTCCCACAGTGAGAACCTGAGAGGCGGGATTTCCGTTCGGAGCGCAGGACCCAGATCTGGATGCAGTTCACTGACCAGCGACACCTCCCGTAGTATCCCGTGGCGCATAGGTCAGAAGAATTTTGAGTCGGGGCGGGCGCATGTGGATGTGTTGATCGATGCCGACAGTTGCCGAACCAGAGGGCAGCTTCGGCATCCAGCAAGGCCGCCGGCTCCGGGTATTCGGCCATTTCAAGTGATGTCACGTTTTTGACCCATTCGAAAATAACCAATTGTCGTCAGATTCTGACATCTGACACCAGAGGGCCCTATTCACGAGCATCTTCGTAAGAAGACAATGTATTATGTAATGGAGGCAAGCACTGTCATTTCCCAGCTGCGCGATAGAGTCTGGGTGCGCGCGTGGACGGTTAGGTAACGCAGCGCTCGGGACAAATGATAGCGACCGTGACCGAATGAGCTGGCGGAAGCATTAGAGGCGGGTGTCGCCTTAGAGACGTAAGTACGTACCGCTTCTCCCTGCTGCGGTTCACATTTTTGCGCCTGTTTACATCTCATGCGGGCTGAAGCCTGATAGAGATGCTTGCTTAGTATATACTTATAATTAAGCCTCAAGCTGACGAGGCATGGGAGGGAGATCGCATCCCACGCGACAATGAGGCGTATTAGACGGCAGCTCCTCGCGGACAGCAAGCGCGAAATCTCGGAGAAGCGGCCTTTCTTTCGAGACGACCTGCTCAACAATTGTGCCCAATACGGCACATCCCATCGCTACTACGTATACACGCCGGTGTTTTGGCCCTTCCATCTACCCAGCTGGTCCTGCATCCGCCTCAGACTCGAAGGCCGGTCATAACGGTAATACGTGTCTTCAATGCTACAAGTACTGCCAGTGCAGCGGGCCCTACATCAACAATGGATGACGGCTTTTTTTCTCAGTTGCGGTAGGCCTTTCACCTCCCACAGTGAAAACCTAAGATGCGGGATCCCCTTTCGGAGCGCGGCACCCAAATCAGGATGCAGTTCGCTCAACAGCGACACCTCGCAATTACACAAGCCATTTCATACGGTGAATGTACATCAGCCGTTTCAATACAGCTTTCTTACTGGGCGGTAATGATCAAGCCCGTGTTTTGGCCCACAGCGTCCTTCGCCGCCCCCGCGCTAAATGCGGCATCTATCGCAGTCCTTGCACAAGACTCCCTGAATTCATGAGTGCGTACACTCTCACTGACTGTCTTGTTCTCTGACTTTTTTTGGCGCAGTTTGGCGCGCAGGGATAGTTGCATTTAGTTACTTGATTGTTTTATGTATTTGTAACATATATTGGTCAACAGCAGCGAGGGGGCAGACGACGGGTTGGCAACGATCGTTTCTGCACCCCTGCCGCCTCTTCCCCGCTGCTAGGTCCATCCTCGGCGTCCGAAGACGACCTCCGCTGGCATCGAGTCTCGTCGTCTCTCTCCTCTGTGCCACTGTCCCGGCCAGACATCTCTGACTCATCGGAAAAATCTATCACCATCTTGCCAGAGCCTCTCCCGCCTCTCCCGCGACCACCCCTACGCCGCGATGGCCTTGCTACACGTCCGCGTGGACGTCCGCGTCCGCGGCTGCGCTTGGCCGCCTTCTCAGCGTCCTTGGCATCCCTCTCGCGCTGCATGCGCTCCAACTCGTCTAGGGTGTACACCCGTGAAGTTCCAGTTGGGCGACGACGATCCGCCGGAGCGCGCGCCGAGTCATCGATTCCGTGCAGCTCTTGAATCCGCCCTGAGAGAAACCCTGCATGCGCGCGTTCGCGCTCCGCCTTGTCAGCAACATCACGCGCAGCGGAACGAAACGGGCTGTCCATATTGGGGAGCAACCGCCGTAGCTTGGTGATGGGAGTAACCACAGGTGTCGATGGCATGGAGCCCGTCGGGGTTGAAACTTGTTCGCGCGCTCGTAGCTCGTCGTGGTAGCGCCGCATGACCGGGAGGGCCTCCCGATTGAATGGGTAGATGCCGGTCTTCTCAAAACCAAGAACACAGTTGGCGCGCGTGAATGCGACCTCACGGGCCTTTGGAAGCAGTCTGTTGACAGTGAGCAAGAGCATGACGGAACTTGGAAAGACATTCCTCGGAAAATCACGCTTGGTGATGGCACTTTGGGAATTGCAATACTCGTTCACTTTTTGATGATATGCCTGTGAGAGCGGCTTGAAGCATGCGACGTCGAGAGGCTGCGTGGCGCCGCTTGTGTGAGGCGCGAGGGAGCACAGCAAAATTTTGTGTGACAGCGCGTAGTTGACGAACATGGGTGTGATGTGCGACTCGTGGTTGTCCAAGAGGATAAGCCGCCATAAGTCGTCTGCACTGTTGACGGCGTTATGCGCCGATATCAATCAATGATTGAGCACACTCACAATTCTCGCGAAAACGGATCAAAGCACTCTTCGATCCACTCCAAACCAAGTTCATTATCGGTCCAACCGTTGGGTGATGCCGCGATATGGGTGTCAGCGGGAAGCCCCGCTTGCTTGGCACCATGGGCCCAGCCGAAGTTGGGCCTCTTTCCTTTCATGATGATGAAAGGCGGGCACACCTGACCGTCCGCGGAAATGCAATCAATGACCGTGATAAACTCACGGTTACCGTCTCGAACAATTCAGACAACATCGGGCAGCAAGGAGGGTAGATGTAGCGTACCTTGGGAGACCGTGGCATCTCCCGATGGCCTCCCTTCGTCGCGTCGTCGAAAAATCAGTACATGCTCACGCCATGACATGCCAATCAAGAAGCCCTTCTCGTCGACATTCCAAATTCTCTTAGGATCAACAACACCATCTGGAAAAACAATTGAAAGTGCGAATTCAAGCTGGATGCGCGTTGAGAAAGAGAGCAGTAAATGTGGGTTTTACAACGCACATTGTCGTAGAAAGAGCTGAGGGCCACGGGATCGTTCTCGCGCCGAACGCGGACGCCATCCTTCGGTCTGCTTAGTGCATCTCGGATCTCAGGATGGCGCGGGAGGAACTGCTGGCCAACCCAATGTTGTCCAATGGGCTTCCGTTCACCTCTTTCAGCCCTAATAGCCTCGGCACGGCCTTTCAAGAGCCGGTGGGTGAGCTTGATACCAAGTCGATCGAGGCGATCGAGATCATCCACAAGCTGGGCTTCCTCCTGCATAGTGAGGTTCATCTGGTGCTCATGAGTGACTTGCCGAGTGGCGCGACCCTTCGCGCGATGATATGCCGTCGACCAGCGTACCCCGTGTCTTGCCCCTGCCTCGCGTGCCGGCACACCGTGGCGGATGTCCTCTACGGCCTTGTGGAGCTCCTGCTCCTTTCGTACCTGCAGATCACGACGATTTTCATGAACTGTCCCACGCGGACGTCCTCGGGGTCTCTTGCTGCGAACCATGATGGTGAGAAGTTGTCGCGGGGGAGAGGATTTCGAAAATTTGCGGATGTCGTGACTCAATTGTCACGCGTTTCGCTTCCGTATTATAAATCACATCATAGCTCTTCCCAATGATTGCCCTCGTTCTCCACACACACCAGGTCCTCTGCCCTGAAATTTTTACTGTGTATGTATTCGATGCTTGTGATTTCGAAAATCCAAAAGAGAAAACTCGGAAATCAAAATTTGTTTTTATATTCAGGAATTAAGAGGCACCGTTTCGGTTCGCATTTAGCGACTGTACATCCATATCTGCGAGTTGTAACGGTAATACGTGTCTTCAAGTACGTAGTTTCTGAGTTCAAGACCGAGCACTTAGCTCCACTTAGTTTTAAATCATTGTCTTACCAAGGGGGTCCAAAGATAAGGGAAAAAGATATCACCTACAAAAGTTTTTTTCTGAGGCTTGGCCGACCCCCCCCCCCCCCTCCCTCCTTCCTTATCGGGTAGTATATTCCCACCCCTGAGGCCGGGCCGTCGGTCCGGCTCATGTGCACAATTTCTATTTTGGTCTCCCTATACACTCACCGAGAAACGAAGACCGGAGCACGCGGTTATGCGTGCCATCTTCCTCTCTCACTCCCAGACCTATGCTTATGACTTAGTTAGCTTGTCTTGCGCCAACCACTGACCCTCAGATGGTCAATGCAACATTCATTTGGGTTTGATATATTATTTTACAGACAGAAATAAGGAACCTAAGGGTTCAATTGGTCAAAAACATATTAATCATGACTTGGTCTTCAGTGGTGTTTGTGTGGTTTGACAAAGGTCAGTCACTTACCTCTCATACTTTTATACTCACTATTGTTGTGCAAAGTTCTCTAAGTGCAGGGGCAGTGATAATGCATCCATTCGGGTACATGACATGGTCATATTTGTGGCACAGTTCAAGAAAATAGTTCGGAACAAGCCAAAAATAGCCCAGGAGCCTTCTTTTGCATGGAATTTGGAAGCTACACTCTATTCCAACTACATGGGAGGCTCAGGTACACAGTCCTACCTGTTTCTGGCCCAAAAACTTTTGACCCACAAAAGTTTTTTTTCCAGGGCCTCGGGACCCCCCCCCCCCCCCACCTGATGTCAGAATTTCTTATCGCTGGACCCCCTTGTGTCTTACAAATTCTCGTCATGTCAGTCTCGCGGAGACGCAGGCTTGTCGCGTAACTACTTAAAGTGTGTGCCTACTTTTACATGTGTATTGTCCAAATTGCCAGCTAGCTGCCGCGCTCGCTGCCGACGGCTATGTACGTGTAACTTACAAGGGACTCCGAGCGAGCGCAGAGGCAAAGCTTGCTTGCTAATTGCTGTAAAGGTTCCGCAGCAATCAATTAATCTGATTCAGGCCCGAAATCGGTGGGCACTATCTTCAAATTTCTTCGAGTTAAGTAACTGCCAGGCTCTGACCGTAGTTACTTGGACACTCGTCGCGTAGACTGTTGTGCAGTACGGCGTTAGTAATGTCGCAGTAACAATGGATGTCCACCTCTCAGTTTCGGCACGCCTTTCACCTCCCACAGCGAGAACCTAGATTTCCGTTCGGAGCGCGGCACCCGAATCCTCTTATTCAGCTCCCTGACCAGCGACACTTCCCGCACGCCGGGCCACAGCTACAACCACGCCACCCACCGCGCAAATGCAGCACTGCGCGGCTGCGGACACGTCACCCGCAGCCTGAACGTCAGTCAGCCCCAGCTCCGCTACGTCCGCCGGCCAGCGCGCGTCCCACGGAGTCCGCAAGTCGGGCTTTGTCAGCGCCGCGGAGGGTGACAGCGTGGTCCGTCTGTGTGGTCTACCCACGGTATAGCGCGAGCATCGTAGGTCCGGGAACGAATGTGGCGAGGCGAGTACGTGGGCGGCGAGGCGTGTGCCACTGAAGTGCATGTAGCTGTGGCCGCTGGGAGGGGCTCCCGGGGCATTGTGTCGAGATAGTCTTGATTCTGCTGGTCGGGAGGCGGACGGCGCAGGAACAGAGTCTGCAAGCTCGGGTGGCGCGCAAGGAATGTCTGGGCGCGACGTGGGTGACCGAGGCGTCGATGTTGCGCAGGCGCGGCAATGTCAGGTTCGCGAACGTGGCGCTCGCCTCAAAAGAAGCGAGCTGGCCGCCACGAACTTGAAGAGACGTGATCAGCGGAGCACGGAAGACTATGAGGCTTCCAGAGGCTCTGGAGGGCCGAGCGCGCGAATGTAAACACCCGGAATGACCGGTACCCCGGCATTGCACAATAGCGGACACGCACAGAGACTTCCAAAATTCCTGCTCATAAATGGATGGCCCGCGGCGCTTGCGCGGCGTAGTAAAGCCGGCGGATGGATGAAGCGATTGTTGATGTCAAGGTGAATACTTGTTTCATACTTTTAAATCCCTTGGTACCTATTTCAAATGACGTTGCTATAACTACTACTTGTCTATATAAGCCAGAGGTTCTGGCACTTGAATAGATATTCTTACTTGCACCCAAACAACTCAAACGGCAGCTCGCCCTTTATCTCCAACAGTGTGATTCCATCACATTCTGCACGCCGTGAGCAACGACTAGCTCTTGCTCACAAACGCTGCACTATATCACTTTGCAACGCTCTACGCTTGCTCAGCTGGTACTGCTTGGGACAAAGGAAAGAGGCCTACTGATTTGTAGGAGTTTCAGCATTTGAATCGACTTCCTCTTTTATTATTCTCATTCTCACGGGCTTTGTGCATCCCAGAAAGCCCATTTCCTTAACAAGGCCCTCCATATCGCTTTTACGCACGGCGCGTAGACATCTGAGCGGTTAGGCATCATGCATCAGGGGTCTAAATCGATGTTTGGGATTGGTGGCAGCCGTCGCGCGAAATGTCCGAGAGCAGACATGTCGCGGTCGAAATTAGGATTGGGTCGAAGCGCAGACGCGGGGTGGAGACAGCACTCACAAAGCGCAATGCGGAACGCGTGGAAAGCCCCCTCCGTAGCCATAGTAACAGAGTTGGTGTGATTCCGTGTTTTCCTAGATGTAACAGGAGAGCTAGGTCGTGGATGTGCTTGGTAGGGCTCGGCACCGTAACCGTATAATACGGCTTACGGTACGGTACGGGCCATCCCGTACCGTGAGCCGTATGCCTTGGCCCTTGGGGCAGCATATGCGCATGGTCTACGGTACGGTTGGGTCCCGTATAAGCCGTATATATACGGCCGTATACTGTATTTATCGATGCCGAAAGGTGCCGAGCCAGAGGCAGCTTCGGCATCCATCAAGGCCGCCGGCTCCGGGTATGCGGCCATTTCAATTCATGTCACGTGCGGACCTCTTCCTCTGTCAGGTTTGATCCATTAGAAAATAACTGATTATAGGATTGTCAGATTCTGGTGTCCTACTCACGCGCATCTTCGTAAAAAAAAACAATCTCATGTAATGGAGGCAAGGCTGTCATTAATCATTTCCCAGCTGCGCGATACTTCAATATCTGGGCTGCCCAATCCAGTGGGGTTGCGCGCGTGGACGCCCTGCCACCACGGCTAGGTAAGGCAGCGCTTGACATCATCGGCCTCAGACCCTCGCGGGTGCTCGCTTCTCATCCGTAACTTGTCAGCTTCGGCTGCGTTGCACCGAATGAGCTGGCGGAAGCATTAGAGGCGGGTGTCGCCTTAGAGACGGACCACTTCTTCCTGCTGCAGTTCACATTTTTGCGCCTGTTTACATCGCATGCGGGCTGATAGAGATACTTGCTTACGCCGACGAGGCATGATAGGAACATCGCCGCATCCCATGCGACCATGAGGCGTATTGGACGGCAGTTCCTTGTGGACGGAAAGCGCGACCTGCTCAATAATTGTGCCCAATACGGCACATCCCATCGCTACCGTGACGTATACACGTTTTGGCCCTTCCATCTACCCGGCTGTTCCTGGCATCCGCCTCCGACTCGAAAGCCGGTCATAACGGCCTTTCACCTTTCACAGATGCGGGATCCCCTTTCGGAGCGCGGCACCCAAATCTGGATGCAGTTCGCTGAACAGCGACACCTCGCAATCAAATAATCCATTTCATACGGTGAACGTACATCACCCGTTTCAATACAGCTTCCTTGCTGGGCGGTATCAAAGCCAGTGTTCTGGCTTACCGTGTCCCGCTCCCCTTCCCGCCGCCCCGCGCTAAATGCGGTATCTATCGCAGTCCTTGCACAAGACTCCCTGAGTTCGTGTGTGCGTACACTCTCACTGACTGTCTTGTTATCATGACTTTCTTTAGCGCAGTTTGGCGTGCAGGGATAGCTGTATTTAGTTTAGTTATGTACTTGATTGTTTCATGTATTTGTAACATATATTCGTGAACAGCAATGATACGAGTGCACTGGATGTGAGTGTTATGAGCATGTTTCCCAAGTGCTGTGTGTGAGTGTGAAGTGCCATGGCCACTCCAGTGAAGTGTTGAGAAGCATCCAAGGTAAGTCTGGTACGCACTGCGCTGAAACACTCAAGCGAAGTGCGGGAAACACTTCATTGCAATAGTGGATCATGCACGATACTCACTCCATAGAAGTGGTTGGGACTGGCGCCGTAGCTACTAACACCCGGAATATACCAGTACTGCTTTGGTGGGGTAGTGGTAACCTGGGTCGTGGCCATAGTTCTGTACAAGAGCAAAACAGATTTTCGACCCGCTGGGGGTTCGATTCCCCCCCAAAGCATCGTCGAACGGTTGCACATTTTTTTCTGTCGCACCGCAAGTACGTTGCATAAATTTCACTTTGACCCCGATTCCAAAGCTTCCCATCTGATAACTACTGACAGCTGCCGACGCCGAAATAAGCAATTCTTCGTGTAAATGCATCAATACATCCATATCTGCGAGTTGTAACGGTAATAGTCTTCAATTACGTAGCAGGCGTCGCCATAAACTTACAGATGTCTTTTCTGAGTTCAAGACCGAGTGCCATTACAGACCCTTCATACACCGATTTTCGACCCGCCGAGGGTTCGATTCCCCCCCAAAGCAGAGAAACCGTTGCACAATTTTTTCTGTCGCACCGCAAGTACGTTACATAAATTTCACTCAATTCTGACCCCGATTCCAGTCCAAACAGTGGGAGCTTCCAAAATTGATAACTACTGACAGCTGCCGGCCTGAAACAGAAATGCGAGAGTTGGGGGATTTTACTAACACCCAGACGTTTGTAGTATTGCTCGGCTCGGGTAGTGGTAAACTGGGTCGTTCTAACAGATTTTCAACCCTCTGGGGGTTCGACTCCCACCAAAAGCATTCGAAAAACGGCTTCTATTTTTTTCTATCGCACCGCAAGTACCTTACATAAAAAGTTTCACATCCCCGATTTCAAATGACATGGAGCTTTCAAACTAATAACTACTGACAGTCTGACACCGAAATGAGCAATTCTTCGCAAATAATAATGTAAATCCATCGATACATCAGGATACTTACATCCAGTTGTAACGACAATACATGTCTTCAAGTACGTAGCAGGCGTCGGTTATAAACCTACGGATGTCTTTCTGAGTTTAAGACCGAGCACTTCTTTGTCCTACAAATTCTCATCATGTCAGTCTCGCGGAGACGCAGGCTTGTCGCGTAACTACTTACATAAATTGTGCGGATACTTTACATGTGTACTGTCCGAATTGCCAGCTAGCTGCCGCGCGCGCTGCCAACGGCTATGTACGTAAAGCAGCGAGCGCGGAGGCAAAGCTTGCGTGTTAATTGTTGTAAGGTTCCGCAGCAACCAATTAATCTGATTCAGTCCCGAAATCGGTCGGCACTATCTTCAAATTTTTTTGAGTTAAGCACCAGGCTAAGGTAGTCCCCATCCACCCTCAACGAACGTCATGTGATCGATGTGACAACTTCCTAATTAGGAACATCTCAATGAATAAATCTATAACATATTGTACACTCAGATTCAAGTCAAACCCTATGACCAGTCTTTTGATAAGACTTGATTCTTGTGTCTGATAAAAAAAAATCTGGGAAAGAGCATGATCTGGGCCCGGAATTATCAAATCTGTCAGGAAACTCACCTCAATCACCGCCACTTGCACCACTCTCCCACATTCAAGCCCCAAGAACATATTCCATGGCCTGGAACACCTGGTGGTAGTCCACTCAAGAATATTGGCCAGCTCTGGTGTCAAACCACATATGCGTGGGACCCCGAAAAAGCTCTACAAGTAGCCGTGAACCGCTGCGACTGCTTCGCAGATGCTTATTTCACCCCACAGCCTCACTAAACCAAGAACAGCATGGATTGTTAAACACTACCTGCGCCATTACACATACTCGGCGACAATCATGGTGGAACTCGATGTTACTAAGATACATTGATGTATAATTCTTACAATTCTTGTAATTCCGTAATCCACAGTGGCCACAGTGCTCTAGTTTTTTATATATACCTACTTCACTTAGATATACACAATCTGGTCACAGGGATTTGCCTCATTCTTTGTTGTTCCTCTATAACTTGCTGTTTGCGTCGTCGTGTCCGAATATGGAAGTGTGACCGTAACATCATGTGATGTTCGTTGAGGGTGGATGGGGACTACCTTATGCCCGTAGTTATTTGAACACTCGTCGTGTCGACTGCTGTGCAGTGCGGTGTTAATAATGTCGCAGTAACAACTTTGGATGCCCACCTGCCGTCCGAGCCACGTAAACAAAACCGAAATTTGTTCTGCACAGATCATAGGGCCTCAAGCCCTTTTTTTTGTTTCGGTAGTAAGCCTTTCACACAGGGGGCAAAGCTGGTGGCACTTGTCATAATGGCAACCCAACGGCAACCCACCGGCAACCCACCAGCAACCCAACGGCACTTGCTGTAAGCTTAGGTAATCTAAGTGTCAAGCTCACATGCTCACAAAACAGGTTTTGCAATCAGACAAGCTCATTTTTTTCAAAAAAAAAAATCTCAGGAAATGCCCTGGGTCTTATTTGCAATTTAAAGGGGGGTGTTTTTCAGTTTTTTTTTCCTTTTTGACCTTGTGAGCTTGTCGACAAGCTCACAAGGCCGAACAAGGTGCAATTTATTTTGTCAAAAGGCTGATGAGTCAACACTCAAGCAAAGTGCGGGAAACACTTCACTGCACACGATACTCACGTGTTCCAGCAATGGAGTGGCCATGGAGAGTTGGGGACTGGCACCGTAGCTACTAACACCCGGAATATAGCAGTACTGCTTTGGTGGGGTAGTGGTAACCTGGGTCGTTGCCATACTGATATACGTCAACCATTTTCGACCCGCCGGGGGTTCGATTCCCCCCCAAAGCATCGCAAATCCTTTGGACATCTTTTATGTCGCACCGCAAGTACTTAAGTACGTTGCATAAATTTCACTTTGACCCCGATTCCAAAGCTTCCCATCTGATAACTACTGACAGCTGCCGACGCCGAAATAAGCAATTCTAAATGCATCAATACATCCATATCTGCGAGTTGTAACGGCAATACGTGTCTTCAACTACGTAGTTTCTGAGTTCAAGACCGAGCACATAGTTTTATTGTCCTACAAATTCTCATCATGTAAGTCTCGCGGGGACCCACTGGCAGGCTTGTCGCGTAACTACTTAGATTGTGTGCCTACTTTATATGTGTATTGTCCGAATTGCCAGCTAGCTGCCGTGCTCGCTGCCACGTGTACAAAGCAGCGACCGCGGAGGCAAAAGCTTGCTTAATTGCTGTAAAGGTTCCGCAGCAATCAATTAATCTGATTCAGGCCCGAAATCGGTGGGCACTATCTTCAAATTTCTTCGAGTTAAGTAACTGCCAGGCTCTGGCCGTAGTTACTTGGCCACTCGTCGTGTCGACTGTTGTGCAGTACGGTGTTAGTAATGTTGCAGTAACAATGGATGCCCACCTCTCAGTCACGGTTTCGGCAGGCCTTTCACCTCCCACAACGGATTCTAGCTGTGACCCGGCCTCCGGGAAGTGTCGCTGGTCAGTCAGCTGCATCCAGAAGATCCGGGCAGTGCCGCGCTCCGAACGGAGATCCCGCACCTTAGGTTCTACGCCACCCAGAGGGAAATGCAGCACCACGCGGCTGCGGACACGTCACCCGCACCTTGAATGTCAGTCAGCCCCAGCTCCGCAACGTGCCCCGCGCCGCGTTCTGGCGCCTCTCCGGCTACGTCCGCCGGCCTGCGCGCGTCCCACGGGGTCCACCCGTGCAGGTGCAAGTCGGGTGACGGCGTGGTCCGTCTGTGTGGTCTCCCCACGATATAGCGCGAGCATCGTAGGTCCGGGAACGGATGTGGCGAGGCGAGCACGTAGGCGGCGAGGCGTGTGCCACTGAAGTGCATGTAGCTGTGGCCGCTGGGAGGGGCTCCCGGGGCATTGTGTCGAGATAGTCTTGATTCTGCTGGTCGGGAGGCGGACGGCGCAGGAACAGAGTCTGCAGGCTCGGGTGGCGCGCAAGGAATAATGCCTGGGCGCGACGTTGGTGACCGAGGCGTCGATGTTGCCCAGGCGTGGTAATGTCAGGTTCGCGAACGTGGCACTCGCCTCAGAAGAAGCGAGCTGGCCGCCACGAGGAGACGAGATCAGCGGAGCACGGAAGACTATGAGGGTTCCGAGAGGCTCTGGAGGGTCGAGCGCGCGAATGGAAACGTCCGGAATGACCCCGACATTGCACAATGGCCGACACGCACAGAGACTTCCAAAATTCCTGCTCATAAATGGATGGCGGCGCTTGCGCGGCGTAGTAAAGCCGGCGGCGTAGTAAAGCCGGCGGCGTAGTAAAGCCGGCGGCGTAGTAAAGCCGGCGGATGGATGAAGCGATTGTTGATGTCAAGGTGAATAATAGGCCCTCCATATCGCATTTACGCACGGCGCGTAGACATCTGAGCGGTTAGGCATCATGGGCATCAGGGTTCTAAATCGATGTTTGGGTTTGGTGGCAGCCGTCGCGCGAAATATCCGAGAGCAGACATGTCGCGGTCGAAATTGGGATTGGGTCGAAGCGCAGACGCAGGGTGGAGACAGCACTCAAAAAGTGAAATGCGGAACGCGTGGAAAGCCCCCTCCGTAGCCTTAGTAACAGACTTGGTAACAGGAGAGCTAGGTCGTGGATGTGCTTGGGAATGGTCGTCAGTGAGAGAAGCTCCATATCGGCGAGGCTTTCAAATGTTTGTAGAAGGATTTCGTCTGGAAACCGTGGCTCCGCTAGAGCATCAGTAGCGTGTTCTTCAAGCATTGACAAGCATGGTATCGGATATCCTGGTGGCTCGTGGGACCTGGCGATAGTGTGACATCACAGATGTGACTCAGACAGCATTTGTGCAGTTACCGACAAGGGGGTTCGAGCCCTGAAAAAACCCCACTTAGGCCGTATTTTTTTTTCCCGGCCTTTTGGCTGAACCTACCTACCACGTAAGCATTCCCACGCTCCATATATAGTAATTGATCTGCACGTGAGAGCCATCAGTACGTTAAAAGTGCCAGAACTACGGCTACAAACTGGGCGGCAGAAGCACACAGTAATTATAGGATACTTCAGCAAGTGTCAGAGCCACAGTACAGCAATTTTTACAATGTAGATCAAGCATGCACTAGTTCCTACTTAGCTCCCCGAGCCTCATCTGAGTGAGTGCAGGTCGCACATACCACTCTGTTGTTTCACATCCCATTATTTTGCCCCAAGCAACTTGAATGTCCCCAGCCATTTGCTAGATTCAGCAGCGCTGCTGAGATGCCGCAAAGACACTGTGATAGTAGGTCCCCAAGCCTTCAAGTTGACCATTCAAGTTCAAGCACGAATTTGTTTACTAAGTATCTGCACCTGATCAGTAGAGCCTTGCCAAATACAGTCATCCACTAGGAGCCTATCCGGGAGCACTGATCTGGGATGCTCCGGACCAAGTTTTGGAACTCAAGGAGTCGGTGAGGGCCATTTTGGACCAAGTCCAAGCTACTTACTGACATGTCCATATTTTTTTTTTCCGGCCTGACGGCCCAACCTACCTACCTGCCCTCTGTGCCGGCTTGACCGGCCCGAACCCCCTTGGTTACCGAGCCTTTCAAACACTGTACATACACTGTCCTTCACTTGCAGGACATCCCTCACTTGCAGGACATCCCTCATACAGTTTCAATATGAATTGAATATAAGACAATTGAATCGGCGATAGTTTCAAGGAAACTGACAATGTAAGTATCGTGGCTCGAGACCGGGATTCCCCGCCAAATAATGAGTATAGGTAACCGCAGTAGTCGGAGGCATTATCAAAGTCCACAATCCAAAAATTTCTCAAGATTTAACTGGACAGACGCGTGTGGGAACGAGTACAGATATATCATCGCCGTCCAAAAAGGTCTGATATCATTCCGCCTGGATGCAACATCGGGAAAGGATGTCCAGCAAAATCCCCGTAGCCAGAATCCTACTCTCTGATGCTCTCAGTTATCTGAACTCTAAAGAAAGGTACATAGCTGAATGAAACACGTGACTGATTGAACCCCTGTTGAACTCTTCAGCATGTGGGCGCAAAGGAACAGGAATATCAACGATACTGTCATTGATACGTGTTTCCGTGTGACTCCTACATGTTTCGCATGGAAGTTTGGCGATCTACAATTACAGCTTATTGATGTCCCGCGCTTATTCAAATGTATTTTCGAATTTCGACGACATTGTAGTTCGCTGAACGGGGAGACCTCGCAATTAATCAATTTCATACGGTGGATGCCAGTGTACAGCAGCCGTTGGTTTCTTCCCACAGTGTATCGTGCGTGCACAGCTTCCTCATTAAGCCCGTGTTTGGGCTCAGGGCGTGCGTCCCTCTCCTCGCTCCCCTTCCCGCCGCCCCCGTGGAATGGGGCATCTATCGCAGTCCTTGCACAAGGCTCTGGATTCACGTGTGCGTACACCCTCACTGGCTGTCTTGTTCTCATGACTTAGTTTGGCGCAGAGTCTTGACTTTACATAAGACGCGCAGGGATAGCTGTATCATGATGTAGTTACTGTACCATTTCGACCGTAACTTCAGGTCACTGGTCACGGTGGTCCTTGAATTGAAGCTAAAAAAACGAAGGTCACAGGTCACCAGGGAGCTTGAAGCAGTGTCCAATTTACCACGTCAGAATGAATTTTTCTCGCTGCGCGTGCTCCTAGGGCTTCCGGCAACCAATAACATCTGTTTTCAAGTACAAAAAATCAGTTACCAGCAGAAGTATGACAGATTACTGTTCCTCATACTCGTTCCATACGCCTGATTCGGTTTTGCAGTGCATCTGGTGCGACAAACAGAGAGAGGGAGGGGATGCCATTGACCTGATGTGAAATTTCATCATTGAAGTTGTTTGAAGCTAAAAAAAATCTGGGTCACAGGTCCCAGCCACCTTTGAAGCTAATGCCCGGTGAAGCTAATAGGTCACAGGTCACAACGGCTGAAGTTACGGTCGAAATGGTACAGTACTTGATTGTTTTGCTTATCTGCAAAATATATAAAACAGTGTTATGAGCATGTCTCTCAAGTCTTGTGTGATACCTGAACTGAGTGTGAAGTACCACTCCAGGGAAGTGTCGAGAAGCACCCAAGATAAGTCTGGTACAAACTGGAACAAAGTGTACTGAAACACTCAAGTCTCCAGCGAAGTGCGGAAAACACTGGGGCTCGATTCCCCTGAAGGCATTTAAAGGGTTGTACCATTTTTCCCCCTGTCGCACCGCAACTGCGTTACATGAATTTCACTCAATTCTGAGTCGAAAAAGTGTGGGAGCTTTCAACCTGATAACTACTGACAGCTGCCGGTCAGAAACGAGAGAGGTTGGGGGAGTGTACTAACACCCGCAATCTTGTAAACATAGTATTGCTTTGGTGGGGTAGTGGTAACCTGGGTCGTTGCCATATCCAATGTCTCGTAATTGCAACCACATTTTCGACCCGCCGGGGGTTCGATTCCCTCCCAAAGCATGAGATATTTGTTCCAATTTTTTGTGTCGCAGCGCAAGTACTGTATTACGTCCAATCCGTATGGACTTTTGACAAAAAAAATCCATCGAAAATCCAACAAATCGAGAAAAAGTTACTGGTGATGTTCCCGAGGTCTTCCAAAGGTTCTTGTGACGCGTGACCGTACGAATTGAACGAAATACTACAGTACATATGTCACTTTAACCCCGATTCCAGTCCAAAAAGCGTGCAACCGATAACTACTGACAGCTGCCACCGAAATAAGCAATTCTTCAATGTAGATGCATCGATACATCTGTATCTGCGAGTCGTAACGGTAATACGTGTCTTCAAGTACGTAGCAGGCGTCGGCCATAAACTTATGGATGTCTTTTCTGAGTTTATGACCAAGCACTTCTTAGTTTTAAATCATTGTCCTACAAATTCTCATCGTGTCAGTCTTGCGGAGACGCAGGGTGTGTATTGTCCGAATTGCCAATCAGCTGCCACGCTCGCTGCCGATGGCTATGTACGTGTAGAAAGCAGCTGGGAGTGCGGAGGCAAAGCTTGCTTGCTAATTGCTGTAAAGGTTCTAGCAATCAATTGTTCTGATTCAGTCCCGAAATCGATCGGCACTATCTTCAAATTCCTTCGAGTTAGTAACTGCCAGGCTATGCCCGTAGTTACTCGAACACTCGTCGTGTTGCCTGCTGTGCAGTACGGTGTTAAGAATGTCACTCACAGTAACAATGGATGCCCACCTGCCGTCCGAGCCACGCAAACAAAACGGAAATTCTTCAAGTTCATGGGACAGGGCGAGCTTCAAGTTCATGATGGGTGTGGAGCTTCAGCGCCGACGGGGGGTGGCTGGCTTCGCGGTCGTTTATATAGGCGGGCGGTAAGAAGCACATGGCGCGCGGAGAAGAGATACGTGCGTCACGGGGACGGCACAAATAGCGTACGTATGGTCTGGTGACCGCAGGCGAGAACGTGATGGCAGATTACGGCACTCCTCGCATTCGGGAGCTCACGAGTAGCCCTCTGATAATGATACTTTCAAAGAAAATAATAATTTGTTTGATTGTCGGGTCTGACATCTGACAATTGAATAGGGCTGAAGGGGAAGCAGAGTGCCGCGGCTCGTCGTTCAAGAGTATATCCATATAGCCATCTACATCAATTATATTCTTCTCCGTCGTACGATTCGCAAAAACCGAACTCTGTGGCGCATCGGTGAGATTTTGAGTCGGGGCGTGCGCATGTGGATGATTTATCGATGCCGACAGTTGCCGAGCAAGAGGGCCTCGGCATCCATCAAGGCCGCCGGCTCCGGGTATTCGGCCATTTCAATTGATGTCACGTGCGGACCTCTTCTGACCCATAACCTCCCATAACTATGTGATGGAGGCAAGCACCAGCTGCGCGATATCTGCCTGCGCTCGAAACAAATGATAGCGTTGCACCTAATGTTGCCGCGACTCGGACTCAAGTCGACGAGTCGACCGAGCAAGTTGCCATGTAAGCTGACTCGAGCCGAGTCGCAACCCCCCGACTTGAGCCGACTCGAGTCGGCTTGAGTCGGGTGTTCTGTGAAATGTGCTGTAAACCTGTTTTTTGTGCTCACCTCATGGTTTCTGAGATTTTCGGTCAAAATGTGACAAGTGTCACACTATGTGACATCGGTGACAACGTGACACTCAAATACAATTCTTTTTTTCTTTTTTGGAAAATCATGAACTAGGACATGAATCCAAGATGTTGAAATTTTCTGGTGCTTAGTTGACTCGAGTCGACTTGAAGCCGAGTCGAGCCGAGTCGCACCGACTTCTATTGACTCGGCTCGAAAATGCTTCGACTCGGAGTCGCGGCAACATTAGTTGCACCAAATGAGCTGGCGGAAGCATCAGAGGCGGCCGTCGCCTTAGAGACGTACCGCTTCTTCTTACTGCGGTTCACATTTTTGCGCCTGTTTACATCGCATGCAGGCTGATAGAGATGCTTGCTTAAGCCGACGAGGCATGATAGGGAGATCGCCGCATCCGCGTATTGGACGGCAGTTCCTCGCGGACAGCAAGCGCGAGATCCGGCCTTTCGAGACGGGCCGCGGATGCGACCTGCTCAACAATTGTGCCCAATACGGTACATCTCATCGCTACGCATAGGTGCCGGTGTTTTGGACCTTTCATCCACCCGGCTGGTCCTGGCATCTGCCGACTCGAAGGCCGGACTCGGAGCCGATATGTTTAGTCGTAAGAGTTGGGTAAAGTCCGAGGGGGAGCATAAAGGTAAAAAAGTCACGAAGAAAAAACCCAGTCCAAGTGTAAATGAAATCAACTCGTCTTTGGGTCGATCTAGAGGCTTGAACTTGAAGTAGCTCCGAAAATAGAAATAGAATGAAATCGTCCAGTGCGCTGGAGATAGAAGGAGAGGTCGGGGTCGGGGATCAGCTTGGGATCACTGAGCAGATGCTAGAATAGGCGGCGAGGCGGCTGGCTGCGCGAAGCTGTCGTCGGGCAACGCCATGCGCGGGGCAAAATAGAGGAAGTGATCCACGGTCTCGTCGTGTTCTCCGCAGCATGGGCGGGTAGGAGTGAGCAATTTGTTAAGTCTGAATGATTTTTTGGCAAGCGGCGCATAATGTGAGCGAAGTTGGAAGAGGAGCGAGGTGTGTTTGCGAGGATAGTCTAAGTATCGCGAGCTACTTCGATGACGGCTTGCCGTCATCTATGTCCTTGATCCGTGCAAAGCGTCGCAAACATTCGAGCACATACCTGCTAGCCCGTTCACCGAGATTGCCAGGCCCTCCTGATTCTCCACAACCGCTCCCACCACCGGAGGTAGAGCATCCACTACCGCGATCGCCGTACACTTCGCCACTTCAGCTGCCACTGTCTCATCCGGCGAGTCAATCTGCTCACCCAAGTACGCCAACGCCCGAACAATCACTGCAACGATCCAAAAACATATAAGTCAGGAACCCGCCGAAGAAGAAATGATGCAAAGCGAACCTATACCCGCGGCGCCGAAGCCGGTCCTCGGGGAAGCTCGGCGGGCAGGTCTTATGAGGGCATGCGAGTGGGGACATGAACGGAAATGGTGGTGGGGAGAGGCAGAGAGAAGGAAAAATTAGCCGAGGGATGACATGTTGGTCCCGACCCCGGCCGCTCGAAACGGCCTGGCACCAGCAGCGGTAGTCGTGGCGGAGTGGAGGTGGTTATCGAGGGCAATCGTCACCAGAGGCCACGAGGCAAATGTCCTTGGCGCTCGGGTCACATCTCGTAACACGCCGAATGCCAGTGCCCGACGTCAAACGGCAAAATCAACCCCGACCTTTAGGCCTACCATAATGAGCATGTCTCTCAAGTGTTGTGACACCTGAACTGAGTGTGAAGTACTACCACTCCAGTTAAGTGTCGAGAAGCATCCGAGGTAAGTCTGGTACGCACTGGTACAAAGTGTGCTGAAACACTCTGCACGATATTCACTCCAAGAAGTGTTCCAGCACACTTCAATGGAGTCGAGAGTTGGGACTAGCACCATAGCTACTAACACCCGGTACCCAGTAGTGCATTGGCGGGGTAGTGGTAACCTAGGTCGTTGCCATATTCGTTGCGTAACCAGATCTTCGACCCGCCGGGGGTTCGATTCCCTCCCCAACGCATCACGAACCTGTCTCCTGTTTTTTTCTGTCGGACCGCAAGTACGTTACATGAATTTCACTCAATTCTGACCCCGATTCCAGTCGAAAAAGTTCGGGAGCTTCCAACCTGATAACTACTGACAGCTGCCGGACAGACACAGAAATGAGAGAGTTGGGGGACTGTACCAACACCCGTTGTATACATAGTACTGCTTTGGTGGAGTAATGGTAATCTGGGTCGTTGCCATCGTTGAGGAATCCATCTGATAGATTTTCGACCCGCCGGGGGTTCGACTTCCCCCTCAAAGCATCACACATTTGTGGTTTCACTTTTTTCTGTCGCACCGCAAGTACGTTACATAAATTTCACACCCCGATTTCAAATGACATGGAGCTTTCAAACTGATAACTACTGACAGTCTGACACCGAAATGAGCAATTCTTCGTAAAGAATAATGTAAATGCATAGATACATCAGGATAATTACATCTATTTGTAAAGGCAATACGTGTCTTCAAGTACGTAGCAGGCGTCGGCCATAAACTTACGGATGTCTTTCTGAGTTTAAGACCGAGCACTTCTTTGTCCTACAAATTCTCATCATGTCAGACGCAGGCTTGTCGCGTAACTGCTTAAATTGTGCGCCTACTTTACATGTGTACTGTCCGAATTGCCAGCTAGCTGCCGCGCGCGCTGCCAACGGCTATGTACGTAAAGCAGCGAGCGCAGAGGCAAAGCTTGCGTGCTAATTGTTGTAAGGTTCCGCAGCAACCAATTAATCTGATTCAGTCCCGAAATCGGTCGGCACTATCTTCAAATTTCTTTGAGTAAGCACCAGGCTATGCCCGTAGTTATTTGAACACTCGTCGTGTCGACTGCTGTGCAGTGCGGTGTTAATAATGTCGCAGTAACAACTTTGGATGCCCACCTGCCGTCCGAGCCACGTAAACAAAACCGAAATTCGTTCTGCACAGATCATAGGGCCTCAAGCCCTTTTTTTTGTTTCGGTAGTAAGCCTTTCATGATCATCTCCCACAGTGAGAACCTAAGATGCGGGATTGTTCGGAGCGCAGGACCCAGATACTCTGGATGCAGTTCACTGACTCGCGACACCTCCCGTAGTATCCCGTGGCGCATAGGTCGTAAGAATTTTGAGTCGGGGCGGGCGCATGTGGATGTGTTGATCGATGCCGACAGTTGCCAAACCGGGCAGCTTCGGCATCCATCAAGGCCGCCGGCTCCAAGTATTCGGCATTTAGAGTGATGATGTCACGTTTTTGACCCATTCGAAAATAACTAATTGTCGTCAGATTCCGACATCTGACACCAGAGGGCCCTACTCACGAGCATCTTCGTAAAAAAGACAATGTATTATGTAATGGAGGCAAGCACTGTATTCCCCAGCTGCAAATGACTGGTGGGAAGGCCGGCAAGCGGCGGAGGCACAAACCAAAATTTTGTAAGTAATTAATAATAATATGGACAAAAATTCCAAAGCGAACAAGCGGCACGGAAAACACACGGGAGAATAGCCTGCAACGGTCAGAGCGGGGCAACCTGAATATTGCCTGCAAGCACGCACCCAGCAAAGTCCGCTCTTCTGCCCATCAGCGCACCTCCCCGCCACCTGTCATATCCACATAAGCCCAGTAATTACTGGGGCGATGGGGGGGGGTACTCCGCAGTAAGTTACTGGGCGCTCCACCAAAATCCCTACGGGCCCTATTCGGGCTGCTATCGGGCTATGGGGCGCGAAGCGCCGGAAGAAAATTTTGAGTTTTTGAGGCCCTATAAAGGCCTCTGTGCTTGTATAGGGCGGAGGTAAATTTTATTGCCAATATCGAACAAGACCTACAGTATAGATTGTGACCGTGAGAAATTTTCCTTTTTTGGAAACATATAGTCATATGAAAGCCCTTGTCAAGGGCTCTCTAACAGTACTAGTCCCACATCTACTGATTAGGTCTTTCTATAGATATAGCCTACTAATGTATCGTAAACGAACCGTTTTTTCAGTGTTTTGCATTTTACGAGCCAACTATTGATCTGATGGCAAAGGTGTCTTAACAAATCTTGTAGATCTCGTTGAGACCTACAGTTTGGAAAATTACCATATTTGGAAATTACCATTTTTGGAAATATATATAGCCTTGGCGCCCGATACTAGTTGTCTCGCTATCGGGCGCTGGCTGCGCGCCCGATAGTGTCTGATTACCCACTATCGGGCTCTATGAAGCGCGCCTGATAGAGTGCCACTGGCTATAGGGCGCTATAAAGTGCGCCCTATAGTGCCCGATAAGGTTAGCGCCCTATAGCCAGTGGCGCCCTATCGGGCGCGCTTCATAGCGCCCGATAGTGGGTAATTGGGCACTATCGGGCGCTATAAATTGCGCCCTGTAGTGCCGGATAAGGTCAGCGCCCTATCGGGCGCACCGCTAGCGCCCGATAGTAAGACACTATCGGGCGCCAGGGCTAGCGCCCTATCGGGCGCGCTTCATAGCGCCCGATAGTGGGTAATTGGGCACTATCGGGCGCTATAAATTGCGCCCTATAGTGCCGGATAAGGTCAGCGCCCTATCGGGCGCACCGCTAGCGCCCGATAGTGAGACACTATCGGGCCCCAAGGCTAGCGCCCTATAGGTGCTACACTAATGGTTGTTAGTACCGTGCTAGACACAATCTAATGGTTGTTAGCTCATGAATGAACTGACTCCTAGATGAAAATCTACTGGATGTATTGACTCTAATGACTCTGATAGTCAGACTCAATACACTAACAGTTTAGCAAACAACCCTTCAAGTGAATGAATAGTGTTAGTTCGAATTTTGTATATACGTGTTCATGACGACTAATAGCTTTGATTCTGTACTACATTCTTGACAGTAGGTTATGTTTGTAAGCTGATTATCAATGTGTCGTTAGATCTCAATAAGGCCTATAGTGGTATACTGACCGTGGGAACTTATTTTTGAAAAACCATAGATAGCCTTCTTGAAGGCCTTTTTGAAGGTGTTCTAGTGGTACTAGGTCCCACATCTACTGATTAGGTCTTGTTATAGATATAGCCTATTAACATATCGTAAACGAACCGTTTTTTCAGTGTTTTGCATTTTACGAGCCAACTATTGATCTGATGGCAAAGGTGTCTTAACAAATCTTGTAGATCTCGTTGAGACCTACAGTTTGGAAAAAAATCTATTTTTGGAAATTTCCTTTTTTGGAAATATATGTAGCGCCCGATACTAGTTGTCTCGCTATCGGGTGCTAGCTGCGCGCCCGATAGTGCCCGATTACCCACTATCGGGCGGTATGAAGCGCGCCCGATAGGGCGCCACTGGCTATAGGGCGCTAGCCTTGGGGCCCGATAGTGTCTCACTATCGGGCGCTAGCGGTGCGCCCGATAGGGCGCTGACCTTATCCGGCACTATAGGGCGCAATTTATAGCGCCCGATAGTGCCCAATTACCCACTATCGGGCGCTATGAAGCGCGCCCGATAGGGCGCTAGCCTTGGCGCCCGATAGTGTCTTACTATCGGGCGCTAGCGGTGCGCCCGATAGGGCGCTGACCTTATCCGGCACTACAGGGCGCAATTTATAGCGCCCGATAGTGCCCAATTACCCACTATCGGGCGCTATGAAGCGCGCCCGATAGGGCGCCACTGGCTATAGGGTGCTGGCCTTGGCGCCCGATAGTGGCTTACTATCGGGCGCTAGCAGTGCGCCCGATAGGGCGCCACTGGCTATAGGGCGCTAACCTTATCGGGCACTATAGGGCGCACTTTATAGCGCCCTATAGCCAGTGGCACTCTATCGGGCGCGCTTCATAGAGCCCGATAGTGGGTAATCAGACACTATCGGGCGCGCAGCCAGCGCCCGATAGCGAGACAACTAGTATCGGGCGCCAAGGCTATATATATTTCCAAAAATGGTAATTTCTAAATATGGTAATTTTCCAAACTGTAGGTCTCAACGAGATCTACAAGATTTGTTAAGACACCTTTGCCATCAGATCAATAGTCGGCTCGTAAAATGCAAAACACTGAAAAAATGGTTCGTTTACGATACATTAGTAGGCTATATCTATAGAAAGACCTAATCAGTAGATGTGGGACTAGTACTGTTAGAGAGCCCTTGACAAGGGCTTTCATATGACTATATGTTTCCAAAAAAGGAAAATTTCTCACGGTCACAATCTATACTGTAGGTCTTGTTCGATATTGGCAATAAAATTTACCTCCGCCCTATACAAGCACAGAGGCCTTTATAGGGCCTCAAAAACTCAAAATTTTCTTCCGGCGCTTCGCGCCCCATAGCCCGATAGCAGCCCGAATAGGGCCCGTAGGGATTTTGGTGGAGCGCCCAGTAACTTACTGCGGAGTACCCCCCCCCATCGCCCCAGTAATTACTGGGCTTATGTGGACATGACAGGTGCTCCCCGCAGCCATATCATTTCTGCCGAGGTGCACGTGGTGGCGGCATTTTGAGTCACCATGACAGCGGATCAGGCCGCCATGACTCGGATCTGTGATGTCCGCGCCGGCACTGTCAACGTGCCGGTTACGCATACTAAATTCTCAGTGGAAAAGGGCATAAGGACAAATCATAAATATTATCAGAGGTCCCAAGCATCATTTCCCGTACTAAGCGTCGGCATCGGCGTACAAACTGAAAAGTATCCCTGGCAGGTCCCAGTTACATGTGATCTGGCTCGACGACAAGCTAATTTGTTTAGCGGACTACAGTGAGTCACATCACACTTGATCTTTCAGAGTCACTCCGGAGTCGAATTCGGAATTCTGAGCTCGGAGATAGAATTGTTTCAGAATAATCAAACCGTAATGCCTTGATGATCCGAGTGTGGATTTTGACCGGACATGGGAGGCAACTGCCAACATCGTTGCCACGTGTCCCGCCATATTGCCGCCCTCGCGCCCCCTGCCCGCTACCCGCCGCCCTCGCGCCCGCCCCCTGCCCGCCGCTTGCCTGCTGCTGCCTGGTCAAGGGAGGGATAGGCGGTGGG